GGTACCAAGTCTCTGCCTCCTCCTGAAGACCCTATCTTAAGAACTGTCAGGATCGCGGTAGCAACAGATAAAAAGGGAAACCTAACAAGAAAAGGAAGTTTGTCGGCCAGCCCCCCTCCGGTCTCACCTCCCCGCGTCCAGCTCCCGGCCCGCAGAACCTCCCATGTCTGTCAGGCTCGCAGCTGAAGCAGCCAGCTCTCCAGAAGGCCTCTTGCCGGTCCCATCCCCACCGCCGGAGCCACCGTTGCAGCTCTTGGTTCGAAAGAGGCGACTGAGGCGGATTTTGAAGGAGCCCTTCCGAGAAGGACCCGCGAGTGGCCGGAGGGGCCCGGGAGGAGGCGGGGGCGGGGGAGGTTGCTGCTGCTGCTGCTGCTGCTCTCCTCTACTCAGGCGCCCCAGAGGGACCAAGTCCTGCAGCGGGAAGGGCACCGGAGGTAATTCAGGGCCTGGGGGCTGCAGCAGAAGCCGGCCGCCCCCTCCTCCTCCGCGACCCGGGCTGCTGAGCTCCTCTTCCGAGCAGCTGTTAGTCTCCAGGCTCTCGGCCTCCGATTCCAAGCCCTCCAGGACTAGCAGCGCGTCGCTCGTTTCCGTGGGGTCCTCCCCGGCCTGCGGGGCGACAGCAGGCGGCTGGGGCTGCGGAGGGGGCGGCTGAGGGGGACACGGGCACGGGCAGCAACCCCCACCGACTGTCTTGACCCCCGGCCCTGCCGGCTGCCCGAGCCCCAGAGCCGCCAACTGCGCCTCTAGTCCAGCCGCCGGGCCCCAGGTCCGCTCGAGCGCCAAGCCCGGCGGCAGGGCCTTGGGGTCCAGGGCACAGCGGTGCCGGGGACACAGCAGTTCCGAGGGTCCCGGCTCCGGGGCCGCCTCCACGTCCTCCTCCTCCGGCGGCCGACCCACGTTGCGGAACACCATCAGCTGCGGCGGCCGGGAGCCCCGCGGGCCGGGCCGCGCGAGGAAGGGTGGCGGCGGGGGGCCATGGCCCGGGGGCGGCGGCGGCGGGCCTGGCTCGGGGGCCGCCTCTCCATAGCCAAGGAGGCGGCTCAGGACGCGGTACGAAGCGGCCGCCGCCGCCGCCTCGCCATCCCGGAGCTCGGCCCCCTGCATCGGGGAGAGGGAGGGAGGAGGGCGGGCGGCTGGAAGCCGGGCTGGGGTGGGGACTAGGCCGGGCCCGGCCGGAGCCCCGCCCGCCGCGGCCCCCGGAGCGACAGCGCTAACGGCCGCCGCGGCCTCTGCCTCATAGAGGGGGGCGGGGGACGCGCGGAGCCCAGCGCGAGCCCAGGCCGCGCTCTGCCACCGCCGAGCACCGCCCCCCAAGGCGACGTCACTTCCGGAAGGGCTTAGCCACGCCACTTTCCCCAGGGCGTGCTCGCGCTGGCCTCCACGGCGAGTGACGTCGCGCGCGCCCCCGGCCGCTATTGGCGGTGAACTGTCTGTTGGCTGGCGTTGGTCTCCTCTCCCAGCGCTTGCATTTCACTTCCTGGGCGCCCAGGCCCAGGCCATCCCATTCGGTAGAATGGAGAGGCCTTGGAAACCATGGTCTGGTCCTGGGAGAGAGCCGCTGGCCTTGGAAGCACATATGGTTCTCCCACCTATGCCACTTTGCGATGTGTGACCCTGGCTGAGTCATTTCATCATTAATCTGTATCTCCCTCCTGGCACCCAGTGAATGTTTGTGGAATCACTACATGAATCGTGTTCTAGACCCAGTGCTGTACTGATAAATGTGTAACAACCAGCCGTCTGGGGGGAGAAAGGGAATGTATGCACATATATAGGTACATAAATTTGTCGTTAAGTTTTACTGACATAAAGGATGTGTAGTTCACAATTTACAAATAATAGCAAATTGGCAAATTCCATATAACTTTCTCACAGAATGCTTTCATTGATTTTTGCCAAACTGATATAGGTAGACGAACTGTGATTGCAGTTGACCAAGGAGTGTAATTGTAAACGTGAATGTTGGTTGATACAAGTGAAAAAGACAAAACGTAACCGGATTGTCAATGATGGGAGCAACTTCTTTGCTGAGTCAGAAAACGGTTTCAAATACTAGAAGAATATTTACTCAATTTTTGTGCTATTCATAATGTAACGGGTACAGACAACACATTAAGTTTTTGTTGTTGTTGTTGAGATGGAGTCTTGCTCTGTTGCCCAGGCTGGAGTGCAATGGCGCGATCTTGGCTCACTGCAACCTCTGCCTCAATTCTCCTGTCTCGCTCCAGGTAATTTTCTGTATTCTTAGCAGAGACAGGGTTTCACCATGTTGGCCAAGGTGGTTTTGAACTCCTGACCTCAGGTGATCCACCCGCCTCGGCCTCCCAAAATGCTGGGATTACAGGCATAAGCCACCATGCCCGGCCTTCTTATCTGTTATATAGGGATAAGGATTGCAACTTTGCTTACTTGCAGGCATGTTGTGAGGATCAAATAAGGTCAAGCTTTTTGTGTGGAGGAGGTGAGACTGGAGGCAGGGAGCCCACTGAAATAGTCCCAGTGGGAGATATTGAGAAATACAAGGGAAAAGGAGGAAGGATTAGCCGCAGAACTCAGTGACTTCAATACCTGAGGGTGCATTGAGGGGAAGAGGGTGGAGGGTTGAGTCCTGCAACCAGAGGGACCTTTTCAGAATGGAAGTGTGTTCATAGCCTGTGATTATAATTGCTCATGGTTTCCCAATGTTCTTAGGCTAATGTGTGATCTTGTGATCTGACCCCTGTGTGATCCAACTCCTGCCTCTCTAGCCACATCGCCCGCTAAGCTCCACCTTGTTCTCTCTTCCCTGCATTCCCATCAGCCTTGCGGCAGGCTCCCACACACGTGGGCATTGCATAAGCTATTTCCTTTTCTTGCAAGACTTTTCTCTTTTTGCTTAGTAAACTCCTACTCATCCTTCAGATTGAACTCACTCCTCACTACCTTAGGGAAATCTCCCTGCCTGGGCACTTCTTCCTTCCCAGGCTCTGAGATCATTCCTTTGTTGCACTTACTTGCACAGGTGTAATTTGCAATCTGTCTGTGGGGTCAGTTGATTAAAAGCAGTCCTCCCTACTAAACTGTAAATTCTATGAGGGCAGAAGCCATGTTTGCTTTTTGCCCCTTGTGGACTCTCCAGTGCCAAGGACAGTGCCTCGAATTGTTGTTCAACCTTAAGCCCTGTGAGAGGCTCCTGAGACAAATTGTGCACAACAGAATTATCTTTCCTCACACATAAAGAGACAAACTGAAACTCACTGAGTTATTTAGCTAGAGTCACTCAGTTCAAAAGGATGCAGTGAAAATCAAAACCAGTTCTGACTCCAGAGAGTTCATTCTCTTTCCCTGTCTGCCTCTCAGGTGTCACTCAGGTTTCTGAAGAAAAGAAGAGTGATTGAGAGGGGCATGTTTACTCACGTCTGTAATTCCAGCACTTTGGGAGGCCAAGGCAGGTCGTGGATCACTTGAAGCCAGGAGTTTAACGCCAGCCTGGGCAACATAGCAACACTCTGCCTCTACAAAAAAATTTAAAATTAGCCAGGCATGGTGGTGTGCCCAAATGTGGTCTCAGCCACTCAGGAGGCTGAGGCAGGAGGATTGCTTGAACCCAAGAGGTGGAGACTGCAGTGAGCTGAGATAACACCACTGCACTCCAGCCTGGGTAACAGAGCAAGACCCTGTCTCTATATAGATAAATGAATAAAATAAGAGAAATTGCTATAGAATCACACAACACCTGAGGCCTAAGAAGACTACCCAAGATCCCTAGCTTTCTGTCTGAGAAATTCTCTGGCCTCAGAGCCCATTACAAGCCAATTACAGGCAAAGTCCGTGGCTCTTCATCGCCCTCTGCTGTCCAGCTGCTTTCCTGGCCACAGAAGAAGCGGACTATGTCGGTTATCTGGAGTATCTCTACTTGCACAGAGTGCACAGAGGTACAGGGGAACACTCCCGAGCTCTTTCCAAGGCAGGGCAAGCCAGGGGGTAGACTTTTCCCATTTCCATAATTGTCCGTTTCCGTAGCCCAGATCCTGGAAAAAACGTTGAAAGTTAAATTCCAAGCAAAGAAAATGTATCTTTGCATTTGTATGACTTGAATTTGTGTTGGGTTTTTTGTTTGAGACAGAGTTTCACTCTTTTTTTGTTGTTGTTTAGATGGAATTTCGCTCTTGTTAACCAGGCTGGAGTGCAATGGCGCTATCTTGGCTCACTGCAACCTCCGCCTCCCAGGTTCAAGCAATTTTCCTGCCTCAACTTCCTGAGTAGCTGGGATTACAGGCATGTGACACCACGCCCAGCTAATTTTGTATTTTTAGTAGAGACAGGGTTTCTCCATGTTGGTCAGCCTTGTCTCGAACTCCTGAGCTCATTGATCCGCCTGCCTGAGCCTCCCAAAGTGCTGGGATTACAGGCGTGAGCCACCGCGCGAGCCTCAGAGTTTCATTCTTGTTGCCCAGGCTGGAGTGCAATGGTATGATCCCGGCTCACTGCAAACTCCGCCTCCTGGTTTCAAGTGATTCTCCTGCCTCAGCCTCCTGAGTAGCTGAGATTACAGCCTCATGCCACCAGGCCCAGCTAATTTTTTTGTTTTTAGTAGAGACAGGGTTCCACCATGTTGACCAGGCTGGTCTCAAACTCCTGACCTCAAGTGATCCACCTGCCTCAGCCTCCCAAAGTGCTGGGATTACAGGCGTGAGCCACTGCACCCTGCCAAATTTGTGTTTATTGAGCTGACTTTATGTCTAAATATACCTCTTTCACTGAGCACTATAAAAATGGTCCTCAGCCGAGCATGGTGGCTCAAGCCTATAATCCCAGCACTTTGGGAGGCCAAGGTAGGCGGATCACTTGAGCCTGGGAGTTTGTGACCAGGTTGGGCAACAAAGAGACCCAACGTTGTGAGGATGTTGTGAGACCTCGTCTCTACAAAAAATAAAAAAAATTAGTTGGGCGTGGTGGCATGCACCTGTAATCCCAGCTACTTGGGAGGCTGAGGCAGGAGAATCTTGAGCCCGGGAGGCAGAGGTGGAGTGAGCTGTGTTCATGCCACTGCACCCCTGCCTGGATGACAGAGTGAGAGACCCTGTCTCAAAAAAGTAAAAATAGAAAATAAGTTGGGCACAGTGGCTCATGCCTATAATCCCAGCACTTTGGGAGATTGAAGTGCTCAGATCACTTGAGCCCAGGAGTTTGAGACCAGCCAGGGCAACAAGGCAAAACCCCATCTCTATCCCTGGCCAAAAAAAAAAAAATATATATATATATATATATGTATATGTATTTACCCAGGTATGATGGCATGCACCTGTAGTCTCAGCTACTTGGGAAGCTAAGGTGGAAGGATCCATTAAGTAAGTCCTGGAGGTGGAGGCTGCAGTGAGCTGTGATTGTGCCACTGCACTTTAGTCTGGGTGATAGACGCTCCAGCTTGGGTGACTGAGCAAGACCCTGTCTCAAAAAAAATTAAAAAATGGTCCCTACAGAGGAATACTAGTTAAAAACTTTTATGAAGGATGACGTAGAGAATTTAAGGTCTTGGCCAGTCACGGTGGCTCACACCTGTAATCCCAGCACTCTGGGAGGCTGAGGCTGGTGGATCACCTGAGTTCAGGAGTTTGTGACCAGCCTGGTCAACAGGGTGAAACCCAATCTCTACTAAAAAATACAAAAAATTAGCCAGGCATGGAGGTGTGTGCCTGTAATTCCAGCTACTCAGGAGGCTGAGGCAGGAGAATCGCTTGAATCCGCTAGGTGGAGGTTGCAGCGAGCTGAGATCATGACGCTGCACTCCAACCTGGGTGACAGAATGAGACTCCATCTCAAAAAAACAAAGAGAATTTAAAGTCTGGCACAGTGGCTCACACATGTAATCCTAGCACTTTGGGAGGCCAAGGTAGGAGGATCACTTGAGCCCAGGAGTTCGAGACCACCCTAGACAACATAGTGAGACCTTGTCTCCATAAATTCTTTTTTTTTTTTTTTTTGAGATGTTCCGTCTCTCTGTTGCCCAGGCCGGAGTGCAGTGACGCGATCTCGGCTCACTGCAACCTCTGCCTCCTGGGTTCAAGCAGTTTTCTGCCTCAGCCTCCCGAGTAGCTGGAATCACAGGTGTTCACCACCATGCCTGGCTAATTCTTTTATATTTTTAGTAGAGACGGGGTTTCACCATCTTGGCCAGGCTGGATCTTTTCTTCTTTTCTTTTTTTTTGAGACGGAGTCTTGACCTGTTGCCCAGGCTGGAGTGCAGTGGCGCAATCTCGGCTCACTGC